GGTGGCGGGAGCCGGGTTGGGGGGTCTTAGAGCCGGGTTTGGGACCCCCAGACTCAAATTTGGGGTGCCCGGAGGGGGGATTGGGGGTCTTAGAGCCGGGTTTGGGGGCTCCAGAGCTGGGTTTGGGACCCCCAGACTCAAATTTGGGAACCCCAGACTCAAATTCGGGGTGCCGGGAGCCGGGTTTGGGCGTCTTAGAGCCAGGTTTGGGACCCCCAGACTCAAATTCGGGGGGTTTGGGACCCCCAGACTCAAATTTGGGGTGCCCGGAGGGGGGATTGGGGGTCTTAGAGCCGGGTTTGGGGGCTCCAGAGCCGGGTTTGGGACCCCCAGACTCAAATTTGGGACCCCCAGACTCAAATTCGGGGTGTCGGGAGCCGGGTTTGGGGGTCTTAGAGCCGGGTTTGGGACCCCCAGACTCAAATTCGGGGGGTTTGGGACCCCCAGACTCAAATTCGGGGGGTTTGGGACCCCCAGACTCAAATTCGGGGTGGCGGGAGGGGGGTTGGGGGGTCTTAGAGCCGGGTTTGGGACCCCCAGACTCAAATTTGGGACCCCCAGACTCAAATTCGGGGTGGCGGGAGCCGGGTTTGGGGGCTCCAGAGCCGGGTTTGGGACCCCCAGACTCAAATTTGGGAGCCCCCGACTCAAATTCGGGGGGTCTGGGGCGTTTGGACCCAGATTTGGGAGCCCCCGGCTCAGATTTGGGACCCCCAGACTCAAATTTGGGACCCCCAGACTCAAATTCGGGGGGCTTGGGGGAGAGTTTGGGGTGTTTGAAGGGAGATTTGGAACCCCCAGACTCAAATCCGGGGGGTCTGGGGCGTTTGGAGCCGGGTTTGGGACCCCCAGACTCAAATTTGGGACCCCCAGACCCAGATTTGGGATTTTCAGACCCAAATTTGGCACCCCCAGACTCAAATTTGGGATTTTTGGCTGGTGTGGGACCCCCAGACCCAAATTTGGGAGCCCCAGACTCAAATTTGGGGCTCTTGGATGAGGTTTTGGGACCCCCAGACCCAAATTCGGGACCCTCAAACTCGAATCTGGGACCCCCGCCCTTAAATTTGGGATTTTCACCCAATTTGGGAGCCCTGGACCCGAATTCGGGACCCCCAGACCCAAATTTGGGATTCCCACCCTTCAGTTTGGGACCCCCAGCCCCAAATTCGGGACCCTCACCCAATCTGGGTGAAAATCCTGAACTTTTGGGACCCCCAGCCCCAAATTTCAACCCCTCACCCTCAAATTTGGCTCCCCCAGCCCCAAATTCGAGCCCCCCACCCAAATTAGGACCCTCAGACCCAAATTCCGCCCCCTGACCCCCAAATTCGGGGTCCCCACCCCCAAATTCCGCCCCCTGACCCCCAAATTCAGGGTCCCCACCCCCAAATTCCGCCCCCTGACCCCCAAATTCGGGGTCCCCACCCCCAAATTC